CATCTGTCAGCATAAGCCCAACAAATATGTTTAGGTGGGGATATGTAATAAATAATAAAAAGATAACAGAAAAATGGGGGAAGAGTGAGCAAAGCAGGGGCACCAAAAAAGGAGAAATATTTTTGGAAAGAATCTGACATTCAGCATTTCCAAAAAAGCATTGAAGTAGTAGTTTAATTTTAGGCCTAGGTGTGCATACAGGGTGTGCCAGGTGTGCCCAGGCACACCCTAATGTCTGGAGGTGAGAAAGTGTCTTTGTGAGTCCCTGACCTTCCCCAGCTGTAGTAGAGCATGGCTCTGCCATGTCAACCAGGCTGATCCTCCATGTATCCCAGTGAGCTGTGCCTCAGGCCCCTGGGCAGGCCATGGTGCCCACCTCCATATTAGCCTTGATCACCAGTGGTTGGTGAGTTGGGTTCTGAGGAGCCTACCACACATCACTTTTTGTGGAGACATCTGTGGAGGTGAGAGGCTGATTTTGTGCTGCAAGCACATGTGGAAGCCCTGCATGTATTATCTCAAGCAACAGTGTGGGCCCCAAGAGGCATTGTTTCAGGGTTAAACTTGTGTTTGGGGCTCAAGGGTGCACCCCAGGCCATTCCCCTGAGTGCTCCTGCTCCCTTTTCCACAAAGACAAAAATCCATGGGTGCACACCATGGGAGTAGCCGGGGGGCAGCTGCCCCCATCAGTAAAAATCAATACAAATCAATACAAATGTGATTTGCCTCTAACATCATTGCTATCCCACAGAACATGAATTTTTATTTTTATTTTTATTGTTTTTAATTTTTCACTCAGCTGTACAATAATGTAGAATAAATTGTGACTTGGTTAGAAAACTCTAGAAGTTGAGTTTGTTCCGTAAAGGAAAAACTGTAATATGGTATCAGTGTTTGACTCAAGAGTTAGACTAAAAAAGTAAATGGAGAGAATGTAAGCAAAACATGGCTGTGTTCTCAAAGGGTGTGGCAGGAGAGGATGGCAAGGGTGGTGAGAAGATTCAAGGACAATCAAAGAAATATTTAAATATTTCAGTGTAGTATATATAGTATATATATATTTTTTGCAGAATATAGATATCTTTTCAAAATGAGAGCAAGAGCATCAAGTGATACTTAGCTGTGATTCAGAGTCGCCATTCGAACAGAGTGCTAGAGAAGACTAGTTTATAATTATATTCTGGGAATGATTCATGTTCTTATCTAACTGCATTGCTTTATATTTTCTGGATGTCCCATTATCATATTTTAAAGCAGATTTTTTTTTTATTCTGAAAGTGTGACCCAGAGAAAAAAGTTTGAAAACCACGGTTATAGACAGTGATCATCTTAGATTCTAAGCATTATGTTGTGAGTTAATAGGGAGGTGAAAATAGCTTCTGTGTTTTGTACCTTGAGAAGTGTTGGCCCTTGTCAATCGTATCTGAAAAGCAAGCTGTTCTTTTTAAATGTTTTACCCTGAGTCATGGGGTCACTTGAAATGCTCAAGAGATTTACACAGGATGCAGTGAATGATCTGCTGACTTCAATCGATGCAATTGTAGCATTAAGAAACACAGTATAGAACATGGTAAAAAAAATAAAATCACTTCAAATATAGCTCTCTCTCCGAGACCTGTGTCTGCAGCAAAGAAACATGAATATCTCCCAATATGCATACTCATTACCTCCTGAGTAGGGCTATTCTTCCGTGGCAGCAGTTTATTTTCAAAGGAAAAAAGGGCCCATGCTGGTCCCTTGCTTGAATTGTCTCTTTATTTGGGTTTAAGTTGCAGAGACAGCAATTTGAAGCAAAAAAAAAGGCATTTTGTCTTCATTTATGGTTATGTATGTTGCATAGGGCAATAAGAGAAATAACTTGTTCTGGGATGTTATGACTGTGTCTGTCAAAGGTGTACCTGAAATCTTTTTTTAAAATGGGAGCTGGCAGAATATGAACTCTGATCCAATAACCTTGCATGTGTATTGTCATTATGAATGCAAACTATGGTGAGATGCAAGTGTCAAGATATTATCTCAGTATAGTCACAGGCTGTTCAGTTACCTCCATATCAGCATTCCTACCTTGTCCCCCTTGCCTGGTGGGCTTAAAAAATAATTCATGTTATTTCTCTTGAGTCCAGCAGTGAGTCAAAGGTGTTGCCAGCCCATGAGTCAGGTCAAATTTCTGGCTCTGAGCAGATGATGGTGATCAGGGGACCACTGAATGCAAAACTAGCAGGCGGGAGCCCCTGAACCAGATCCTGCAGCATGAGGGCCCAAAGAATCAGAGCAAGGACCCTCACAGGTGCCTTTCCTGGGCTCAGGGAACCAAGTGCCTCTCAACCTACCTCACCAGTACAGCAAGCAGGGAGTGTACCAGGCTATAGGTCATGCAGGAGTCCTCAGGCTAGAGGGTTGGCTCTTCAAGAGATTAGTTCTCCCAAAGGAGGCAGAGGCTCAAAATACCTCCATTCATTTCCATCCTTTGTTGGAACAAGTTGCTCACTGGAAGTGCTTGCTGTTCTGATAGCTGACCTGCATTGTGCTCCTCCACAGGACCAGAACATGGTGATTATTGACCACCATAAGAGCCATGGGGCTGTCTCAGTTAATATCTTACCTCTTGACTTAAGTGGGTTTTTTTGTCCTGGGCAGGTTGAGGGAGATCTGCAGTTGAGGAGATTTGGTGTAATTCCTTTGTCCTGGAAAGATGATAACGTATATTGGTTTAGACCAGGGGTCTGCAACCTTTAAGACAAAAAGAGCCACTTGGACCCGTTTCCGAAGGGGGAAAAAACTGGGAGCCGCAAAACCATTGTGACATTTAAAACAAATATATCTCCGGAGCCGCGATCTGACAGTGGGTGGGAAGGTGACATCGGGACGGTGCATGACTAATGCACACACCGCCCCCATGCGACATCACAGCCAGTACAGCGCCCGCCACAGTGGGGAGTGTCGGGGCGCACAATGCACCTCCTCCCCTCGCTAGTATCCGCCCCGGAGCCGCGGCAAAGGTGTAAAAGAGCCACATGCGGCTCCAGAGCCGCGGGTTGCAGACCCCTGGTTTAGACTTACAGGGACTCCGTAGTGCTGCAGAGGATTGACTATGTCAACCCATCACTGAACACTGAACGATCCAAAAGGTTTCCAGACACCTCTTGGGGGTGTTCCCCACTGATATTGTTGGTAGTTTTGATGATGGTCCTGTTGGTCTCTAGAATTCCAATGAAGGAAGATGTGTGACAAATCCAATTAAATGCAAACTTAAACTTCTGATATGTTTACACAGTCCAGGAATGCTCAGTATGTGAAGTTCATAAGTGAAGGGGTCAGTGCATGTGGTACTATACATTCTGTTGAATAGCTAAATAGTGCTTTGGTGACACTTGGAAACTGTACCCTTTAAGAAAGCAGGCTCAGTGGTCAGGGATAGGACTTTGCCTTCTATCTCCTGCATTTATAAGCAACCTAGTCTGTTTGAGATCCGTTATGTGTTATTCTGATCTGATTATTTATTCAGGTCAAAATCTAATCTGTTACATCAAAAGCTGTCCCCCCCCATTGTCTATAACAGGGAATAAAAAAGGATATAAGTTCCCCCCTTTTCATGTAAGTAGATGAAAATGACAAGCAAAGGGGCCCCTCCGGAGAGGATTAAGCCCATGACATTTCAGCCAGATCCATCCAGGGGACCCTCTTAAGGGTTTTTTTTAATTTTTATTTAAAAAATTAAATAAAAGTCTCTAACTTTTTAATTTTTTGCCATTGGGAGGGAGTCTGCCAAATTTCAGAATGATATATTAATAACACTAATAATAGATAATAATACTAGCTGGAGCTGCCCACTTAAATGGAAGATCCCACCTCTCCACCCCACTTCTCCATACCCCTCCACCTCTAAAGGTCTACGTGTTTTCCTCAATCTGCTTGGTTTAGTTTTTCAGAGAAGAAAGGGGAGTGGAGATGGTCTTGTGTTTAGCTTGATGCGACAACTGAGGTAGCAGAGATACTCAGAAGGTTGGGCACTCCCAGCTCACCTCAACATGCCTTGTTAATGGCACAACCCAGCTCTGTAATGTGAAAGACTACCCTGGATCTTCCCAATTTGCTTCTTTATTTGGGGTATACACAGAACCAACCCCTATTAAATAATGCACTAAACACAGTTCTTTTTCTAGGGGTACTCAGGGGGTACACAGTACTGGCACCTCCCCCCCAATGACTATAAACAAATGTATGCCAAGGTGCTTTGTTTGCTTCATGCTGCAGGTTGATCAGTCCAGCTTTTCATGAAACAGAATTGGATTTATCCTGGTACAGAATTTCAGCATGCAGCATGCTGTCATGTTATTAGCACAACATTTTCTAAGCAACTTTCCCTTGGTTTTCAATGTCACTCAGCCTTTAAATATCAGAATGCACTTTCTGTTTCTCAAACTAGCATTATTTCCTTATTGCATCTTCTGATGAAGTAAATAACAAATTGTGTCTTAAGATGCTCAGTGGTATATTGTAGAAAAGGTTGAACCTATTGAATGAAAAATAATTTTAAAAGTGCAGTTGTCATCTATGTGCTTATAAGAAGTCTTTAACAGGCATTTGTGGAGACTTCAACGCCAGGATTAAGATAATGGTGTACAGTAATTTGTATATCAAAGGGTTTTTTTTGTATAATATTCCAATTCTGTGAGTTAAGAATTATTTTGATTCTGTTTGTTTTATCACCTGAATGGTACAGTAATCACCAACTGAGCTAACACAGTACACAGTAGCAATACGTTTAAAATTCACAGTAGCTTGGAATCTATTTTGATTTTGCCAACAAATACCCAGTTTAACTTGCTGGAAATGATCTGCAGTGTAAGAGGTCCTTTTCTTTCATGCCTTGTATCTAGCACTGCGCCCCCCCCCCACCCAGGAAAGAAACACATTTGCAGAACTGCAGTATGAATAAAAAAATATGCCCGTTTCCAGCTAAACCCCTATTCAGTACTTTGAAAGGAAGGAACTCCAAGAAATCTATAAAGGGATTTTATTAAAAACTGAGATATTTTGGAAACGGCCTTCCTGATCTTCTGTACATTTCTAGCATCACTTCCTGTGTATTTTAAAACCAAAATCCTCTTAGCATGCAAAGTAAATAGATTATGATATACTGAAGGATTAAAGATCACTGTCTGGTGTCAGATTAATCCCTCATATAGACCTTCACTTGTACTGACAGAAATATGGCTGCAATTCAGCAAAATAGCTCTATGGCGAAGTAGCGCATTTCAGAATCCTTAGGCTGAACAAGCAAAAGGCTACCTTGATCTGTTGTTGGACTGCATAGACCTTTGCAGAAAGTGCCTTTATATAAATATACCTTATGGGGCACATGCTCTCCTCATGTCATTGAAAGAAAACACACAGTAACAATTTTATTTCTATATGCAGTGATATATGGTGGACTATTACATGGTTAATTATGTCTCTGTCTCATAGGTCTTGTATTTCTCGGCCACTGGACCAGTGAGTGTTGAAAATATTACGCATTTTGCTACTTTTTGTCTGCTGAGGACATAAGCATTTCAGCATGGATTTAATATGTTCATCAGACTATTACTGACAAGTCTCTATGCATTATTCCCTCAGTCTTGCTACTAAACCCATCATCCACAAGGTTAGATACAGATTTGACAAGGACTCTTTGCAAAGTATAAAAATAATTTTATCTCTCTTTATTTGGCAATATTACTAATTAAGTATATAACTAAACTCAACATAACTTTAGTTTTAAATTGTGTGACCACAGTTAAGATCATTTTATATTATACATGTCTCCAGACAACACCAGAAAAAAATGCATTGAATAATGTCAGGAGGAAACTACTCTTAAAAGGAGAGTACAAATTGTAGTTATGACAAAATGCAGCATAAGATTCCCCCCAGTCCATTTTCTGTTAATGCCTGAAAAAGCTGAATAATTCTATAGAAGGTTAGATTATTAGAGACACCATGGCTTTTTAAGGGGAAAATAATGGTTATTCAACTAAACTGATATGGATGTACTGGAAAATGGAGGGCATTTTTCTTCAAAGAATTGTACTGGCTGTTAAAGGATGATTTTTTGCAGAGGTATCCTGAGTGAAGATGCTATCTGTTAGAATGTTATGGAATATCTATTGCAAAGCCTTAAGTGGAAATTCAAAGCTGTAGTCGTAAAGGAGGGAGGAGTAAATTCTGAGATTTCTTTTAACTGCTCCTCTTGCCACTATGGATTATGTTTATGCTTATGTGAGGTAAGAAGGCAGAGATAGGGAAAGGGGGTCTGTCCGTATTCTTGAATTACCTTCTCCTTCATAACATTTTAATGCTGCATGAAGTTCCTTTCAGAGCTCCACCGCCCTGACTGACCTTCCAGACCTGTGGCTCAGGAGCTGGGGGAAAGGTGGGCTTGGTCCATCTCCATGTGGCTTTGAAGATGAGAAGCTGAAGCCACTTTCCAGTTCTGAATGAATCTTTTTACCACACCCTCATGAAGGTTTATTTATGCTGTCAGTTTCTGGAACTGGGAAGAAAAGTTTCACAGGGTCTCAAACAGGTCCCCAATTTGTGCATGTGTTTATGGTCTTCATTACCCTACGTGTGACAACTATACAGTGCTGTTGGCCTTGATGTATACAGGGTTTATTTTGCAATTTGTGGCATTATAAAATTTAGGGATTTGCACAGATGGGCAAAGAAGAACAAGTATTTGCAAACTTCAAGGGAATGGGCTGCCTTAAAAGATATTCAGGCTGTAATTGTATACCTGCTTATCTTGGAGCAAGCCCCATTTAGCTAGGTAGAATTTACTTCTGAGGAGACATGTCTAGGCCTTTGTGAACCTGGAACAAAGGTGCTATCAGATGGTAGAAAAGCCACCCACTTTAGGGCAGCAGTCCTGGATTCATTTCCAAAAATACCTCATATAACTGTCCCTCTATTATATCCAGTATTTGTACTGTGTAATTATTTGCAGCATTTGCTGGACTTCCTTGTAATAAAGTTGCAAAGCTGTTTTCTCTCTGTATCTGTGTATATGTATAAGAGAGAGAGAGAGAGAGAGAGAGAGAGAGAGAGAGAGAGAGGGTTTCTTTATGACTGAATGTCTACATTCAGACATTATGTCTACTTGCTGAACTTTCTCCCATAGAAATAAATGGGACTAAAAGTGCTGAGCGTTTACTGCTACCATATTTACTCGAATCTAATACTTACCTGTTCTGGCCAAATTACGTTGCAGAAATTAAGATTACTTAGATTCGATGGTACATTTACATTCACCGGCAAATACTTTTTTTTTGTTTCAAGGTTCTGAAAATTGATTTGATGGCGCATTAGACTCAAGTAAATACGGTATTTGAACTCTATTACAGAATCGATTGAAATAAGGAGGTTGAAAATTCTCAACAATTGGTGTGTAGGGGTCCTCCTGATTTTCTCTCAAGATCTTAACTATTAAGATTTTGGCTTATACCAGGCCAAAATGCACCACTTCGATGGAGCCACTTCTGATTTCCTGTAAAAAAGAAAAGAAAAAAAGAACAATGACACTTGTTGTAGTACAGGATGGATATTAAGACTTGTATTTTTCTTTTTATAACCACATTTTCAATGAAACAAACAACTTTTCAATTTAAAAAGTCTTAATTATGTTAACTATTTATTGAAGAACAACCTATAACACCATGTTTTTGGTCATGTATCAAGCGGTCCCGTATCTTTGCACTCTCAAGCAAAATTCTGAAAAGCTAAGCATTTAAAAAAGATGACAATTTCTGAAAATGTACACATTCAAATCTTGGGTATATTTTGTATCACATGGATGCATGCCTATGCTTTTGGTGCAATAGAATATACAATATGAATTTCCCTCTCCCACCCCAAACAAGGGACTTCTCCTTTTTCAAATTACAATACATACAAATGCTTCAGCCTTCATGATGTAAAGAGAACTAGGCGTGCAACTTGAAACAAAAGGAAACTTGCCTCACTGTAATATTCAACATATGCTCTAGTCATTTAAGTAAAAAAGTATAAAAGTTGGCAGCAAAAGTGTGCAAGTTAAGGCTGCTTCAGGCTTACTGTGTGCTGGCAAGTTCAAGTGGAATTCATGAGGATTTTTGTTTTTAAAAAAACTTTCACATGTCAGATTAGATCAGTCTTGAACAACATGCATTTACCAGACCAGCAGCTCCATCTCATGGTATATCTGTTCTAACAGTGAGCTGGAAACAGAATACTGCATAAAACCTGTATTTAAACAGTGAATATCTTTGTAATTGTACTATATTTCCAGCATTGTTGCCTGCCCTTTCTCCATATTTAAACTGCTAGTAAGAGTAATATGGACTTTGAAATGAGTTAGCATTTGGTAGCATATTCTAAACAGTTGCTTTACTTTGCACAACACAAAGTCTTTCATACAACTGAGCTCCTTCCTATTCTGAACCCCTATATAATTATAGATCAGAAGCCACGTAACACACCCTGGCACATTTCATGCACCAAAACACTCCTATGCTACTCTGGAAATCAAACCTGTTAGCCAGTATGATCTGTATTTTGTGAACAGTTGCCACTCCAACATTCCTGTTCAAAAACTACCGCAGCTATAGCTGTCAGATGCCTCTCAGTTTTTGTCTGGAGATGGACAAATAATAATCTTCAAATCTGGACTGGAAGGTTGGGAACTATATAAGGTGGGCAAGTGGGACCTGTTTTGTGTGTGTCTCGGGCCACATTCCCTCAGGAGTAGTCTGTCAGGAATCAAAGACAGTAGTGGGTGGGTGGCCGCCCCACCCGTCCCCCCCACTCTGCTCCTGCTGCCAGGAGAGAGACAGACAGATCACGTTTGCTAGAGGGCTAAACTGATCATTTGCAGAGGCTCCCTCACCCCACTTGTTCTTCCATCATCCCCCCCCCCATTCCCCACTCTGCTCTCATTAAATTAAGAAGCATGCTGCTTGCACTTAGGCGAAGGATTGTGTGTGACCCTGAGGCCACATTTCCCTTCCCTCTGCTATATGGCATGTCTACTTTTCTTTTGCTGCCCCCGTCCCCAGTTAATTACATCTTTATCTTTTATAAATGACCATCTCTTTCTAGCTCTGAAGCTAGTGACTTTTTAGTGTATGATCACATGATCTTATTTACTAGTATATTTTGTCATGTAGAAACTTGTATAGCATTATTAATAGGAGAGCTTTTTGGCTCCATGGACCAGATCCTTGTCAGCAAATTTTATATGAAGGCCATAATTCTCATCCTTGTTGCTTAGGGCTACTGTGTTAAAACCTGTCAAAAAGAAAAGGTGGCCGTGTGCCTGGAGAGGTGTTTGCCATTCACACCTTACTTGTTCGTTGTGGGAAACAGTTGTGAAATTCTAGTTCACCTGCCATGTAATGCACACGGAGCCACTTTTAGATGCAGACGTTTGTGAAATTGCACAGAAGTGATGTCTTACTTTAAGGACTAGGTCCTCAGGAGCACTTTCTGATAGAGGGGGAAGGATCACTTACAAGTTCTGCACTGGCTCATTACTTTTAAAAAGGTGTCAGCTGAGAATATGGAAGCCAGCAGAATGTTAATTTTTATTTTATGCTACGTTCATGTCAATCAAGTAGGCTGCTTACAAAGTATTCTGAATGGCTTTTGGCAGGACCCATACGCTGTGTGCCGTATGGGGGGAGAAATGCAAATTAATTCTTGGGTTGAACATAAGAAGGATAAAATGTAAACTAGTTGAAGACACAAACAGCTGGAATAAGCACTTTTTCTTAAATTAATGCATAGTTTATCACATGGCTATAACTTAGCATGGAGCAAAACTCTTAGGCTAAGACTCCTGTTTCTCATTGTATGAATGGCTTTGAATATTCAGTGGAGAAGGAACATGTCTGTTCTGACCTCATATATTCTTGGAATGTAAACTAGGTTACAGGACTGAGAATGTTTGCTGTAGACATTTATTACAATTGCACAAGCCGAGCCTTACCCCACCAGATGTTTTGGACAACAATTCCCATCATTCCTGGCTATTGGCCATTGCTGGGGGTGATGGGATTTGAAATCCAACAACTGAGGGGCAACTCCTGTCCTACTCTAAAATCCTGTTTTCTACTCCAACTAAGGCAAAACCCGAACCTTCCCCTCTACCCAGCTAGTGGGGGTTTACAGAGTGGTGGGGCCACAGCACTGCCACCCAGGCTGGCAAGGTGAAAGAAGGCAGCTCATTATGCCACCAGGCTCAAATTGGACCACATACTGTTGTGTGACAGCAGTGCAACTGGCTGGAGAGTCAACAAATGCCAAGCTGGCTCAGCTCCGCCCCTTCCCCACCCCCAGAATGTCTCATTTCAAGCCTTGTGATGGATACTGTTTAGTGAGCAGAAGGGGGAACACTGCACTGCACTGAATAAGTGCTTGTGTCACTCTGTCATCAGCCAGCAGCACTCCAGTGCAGCAATATGTGTTGGGCAGAGGAAAACTTTCACCTTAACAACAACAACAACAACAATTTGAATACTGCCCTATACCTGTAGATCTCAGAGTGGTTCACAACATAAAATCACAATATAAAAAACAGCAGAACATAATAAAAACAGCCCAATAATCCCCCTCCAACACATTTTAAAAGGGCATTGGACGTCAATTAGCCAAAGGCCTGGTTAAAAAGGAATGTTTTCGCCTGGTGCCTAAATATGTATAATGAATGTGCCAGCCGAACCTCCCTGGCAGAGCATTCCACAAAAGGGGAGCCACTGAGGAGAAGGCCCCGTTCTTGTGTTGCCACCCTCTGGACCTCTTGTGGAGGAGGCACACCAAGAAGGGCCTCACAAGATGATCTCAGGGTCCACGTAGGTTCATATGGAGAGAGGCAGTCCTTTTAAGCTCCTTGGATCAAATACCTGTACTCTTTAAAAACCATGCACACTGATGACACTATGTAAACAAATAAAAATGTGTTCTGAAAATGTGACAGAAGGAGTTGCAAACATGTATTTTCTGTTGAGCAACAGGGAAAACTATTTACCTGTCCATCACGTGTTTCCTCGGGAGTTTCTAAAAAACAAGGTAAGTAATTTGAATGAGCTAGGTAGCAAAACAATCAAGATAGAAATACTATTTCAATTAAATCCCGTTTCTTTTTAAGATGCACATATTAAATGATACACACACACACACACACACACACAAATACATACAGGCCACCTTCACACTTTTTCTTATGGCAGACCTGCCATGTGGATAGTGCTTTCTTATTCATGTAAATGTGGGCTTTTCATGTGCTCCAATATATCAGGTCCGTTTCTCATTTATCCCTATGTTTAGTGATATCCTTGAGTTTTCTGGTGTAAGTTAAAAAAAAGAAATCCCCATCTCCTAGTGTAGTGTACAAAAGTAAATGTAGGTGCCATTAGAACAGACCTGAAACATGCCTTGGGCAGAGCATAGGGAAGACTAAGATGCTGGTCAAGAATATGGCTATGCAGTCAAAAAAGCACTTGGAGGAGCTGAGCGGCATTAAAATTGAGAAAAAGATTAAGTATTTAGGTGTCTGACTGACAGTAAAGAATCCCAACATATTTGAGACAATTATGTATGGAAAGATGTTAAAAAAGATTTGGAAACATGGGGGAGAATGAAACATTCATTTTTAGGAAGGATTCCAGCCATAAAGATGAATGTTTTACCTAAGATGTTATTCTTATTCCAAATGATACCAATAATAAACAACACAAGCTACTAGTATAGCATATTCCAGTTTCCTGATTATTCTTACTGTCTATTTCACTTCTTTTCTATGCTCATTTCTGTATTTAAATCACATCTTGCCATAAAGTGTCTTCTCCGGGGTCACACCTTCACTGTCTTAGCCAGACTCACTGATGTCAGTCTGTTACTAACCAAAACATGTGCACACATGATCTGTGGCACGCAATATAGATTGATTTAGATTTGTTGCTACCCTAATACTTTCCCTAAATGAACTCCCTTTAACTACATGTATTTTTGATTGGGAACCTTTATGGGACTAATCTGTCTAGCCTTTGACTTCAACATCGTGATTGATTTGCAGGTGTAAAATAATTGCTAGAATTGAAACACCAGAATTTTAATATATCGTCATACACAATACATTCCAATGGATTTTGTACAAAGATTCAAGCGTTGAGCAATTAAGCGATGACGGAACAAGTGAGATATATGATTATGTGGACCACCTCTTTGTTTTATGTTTCTGATAGAACTATCTAATTTGGGCCCTCTTAAATGGAACAGCCTATGTTCACCCAATCATAGCCATTCTATTTTTACCTAACCTTGCTAGGGTATAACAAAAATGTTCTTTGAATGAGACAATACGGGAATATGGGGGAATAAAAGAGCTTATTACATAGGAAGATAATCAAGCAGTGCATGGTAAAAACTCTGCAACTGTACTATGACTGTGAAATGTCTTTCATTTGCTTTAAATATTTACCATAATGCTAGAGAGACACCAGTTCATTCATGGGACTGAGGAATTAAGGCACAAAAGATAATTGGTTCCTCCAAGTGCTTAGACCAAGGGTTGCCAACCTGGTCCCTACCGCCCACTAGTGGGTGTTTCAGGATTCTAGGTGGGCGGTAGTGGGTTCCAAGACACAAGCTGAATCCTCCTTCCATTGAGCACTGGGAGGCAGTAAGGAAATTTTACCATCAAGAAAGAGGCATTAGTGGGCGGTAGGTATAAAAAGGTTGACTACCCCTGGCTTAGACCATGCTGTCTCACTGCTACAGATCAGCACTCTGCAGGTCAACTAGGAAACCTCACAAGTGATGGTTCCCCCCACTATAAAATTCTTCCAGACCTGTCAGCTGATCAGTTTCCAAAACCACTCCTTGTTATACACATTTGACATTATCCTTACCAGTCCGACACCAAGATGCAGGTTTGTCCACCTGTGGAGCCGTGCAATTGCCAGTTACAAATTCACAGTCCCTTTTGTCTGTCTCCTTAGAAAAAGTAGATCTTAAAAGAAACAGGCAAAGTATAATGTGAAGGACTGCACATAATTGTAAAAATGCTTTGTAGACCTCACACTGCAAGCCTCTGCATGTCTTCTCAAACGTAGGTCTCACTGATTAAACTGGGCTTACTCCTAACATACAGGCTTCCAGCCTTACTGTTTTGAGCTCCCTCAGGCTCAAAAATCTCAATTACAAAAGCTATATGTGCACAGAATGGATTGGATCCAGATTTAGTCCTGCTGCGAATAGATTCACGTCAGTTTGTTCATGATGTGCTAAAGTAGATGTGGGTGTGGCCACAGCACACTCATACATGCTCATATCTATTTATTTATTTCATGAAATTTATATACTGCTTGATTGTAAAAAAAGAAAATAAAACCTCAGTGTGAACAACCCACCTCCATTGCTGATGCGTGCAGACAGGGGCATAGGAAGGGGTGGGGGCGGTCCGCCCCAGGTGTCATACCTGGGGGAAAACAAAATCCCCCCTGGGCAGATCGCTGCCATGCCAATCAGCCCCCTGGGTTGCTCACCCCGCCCCAGGTGCATGGCATGTGCCCTGCTCCAGGTGCCCAAGCGGCCAGCTCCGTGGCTGCGTGCAGATCAGCTGGGGGGGGGGAGTATTTGCATGCTCCTCAGGCCGCAGGGCTAGTTGGAGAGATTCAAGCCCAGTATTGTGTCTACTTTTTTGTCCTGTAGATCAGATGTATTGAATTAATCTATATATAGAGTTACTATTAACAACATTTCTTACCACAGTGAAGTCCCAGGGCAGGTTACAACGATGTAGAAATACTAATATTGTATTAAAACAATTTACAGTCTCAGGCATGAGCATAGCCAGCGGGGTGCAGGGGTGCAGCTGCCCCCCCCAAATCAAGTAAATAAATAAATAAATAAATAAATAAATAAAAGTACTTAATTAACTGACCAATTGTTTTGCAGATAACTCGGTTCTGCCCCCCAACATAAAGCCTGCCCCCCAAAATAAATCCTGGTTATGCCCATGGTCTCAGGATCACTAATATATTAGTAAGGAACTAAGAGACCATTTTATTTAATCTCTGTGTGTGCATGTGTGCTTGTAAATTCAATGTGGCTAAGTGAGGAGGCATCAGAAACCAATAAAATGTTGAAGAGGACATGCAGAGCCCAACTAAATGAAGATGATGATCTAAAACTAGGCACCCTGGAATGTTTAGCTAACCATGTTTGCAGAACTTTCTGAAGGGGCACTGAGAGACCTCAGCAGAATGTCCATTGCTTTATTCCTTTTTCAGATAAATGGATATTAAAATAAACTTGTGTGCTCTTCTTTATACTAATGAGCCTTCCATTTGAATACTAGCTGCATATCCTTGACAACAATAATAAAGGAAATGGCCTATTACTGAGAATCGTGTATAGCTTCTACGTATATAAATGACTTATGAGGCAGTTTATCAGAACGTTTTGTGGATGCCCAGGAATGTATTTGCTGAATAAGTCACTAATTTTTCAACATTTCTGAGGATTTTAATATAATCATAAAAAGTATGTCGGTTTATACAGTAAAGTTTAAGTGTTGGTCATCTTATTTTTTTTATGTAGGCAGGTTCATTATTAGGGAAACAAAATCAGCATTTTGCTTTGCAACTTGTTAGTTAAAAATCTAGGTGAGTATTGCCTTCACTGAATAGAAAATCAGTTTTGATTTGTGTATCTTTTTGTGTACTTATTTGCATTGTAGTGATTGTGAGCAGAAGAAGGGGTGGAGGAAGCAACATTCTTTCACAGCAACTTTGGTAATCAATAGGGAAATATCAATTAATTTGCAGAACTGTTACACCATGTGTCATTGTCATAGTCTAACTTAATGATCAAATGCCTCTTTTTTCAGTTGCAGCATGTAAATTGTTATCCTGAGAATGTGAATGCTCTGATGTAATTGCACATTAACTTGCTTGATGGTGTAGTTAGTATTAAGTAGAATTAGCCTTTGATGATACACATGATTCAGTCTGAATGTAAAATCCCTCTTTTCTGCTGAGAAGATAAGCTTTGGATATGTGGTAGTGTTTTGGTCGCAAAACAGTGAAGACTGTTATAATGGCTGACTGGCTTTTTATTTTTTAATTGGTTAATAGTCTATTGTCATGTGATGATATGGCCAAAGGCTGAAACAACAAAAACTGAACTGAATGGAGGTTCTGCAAGCAGCTATGAATGTATAGTAACATTGCAGCTCTTCAGCTTTCTCTGAGCCACAATAATGCAACCACCTCTCCCACTAAGCTTTATTGGCTCAAGAAAAGAAACTAAGGAACTTCATTGGAGACCAGATTAGGTGAGTTTCAAAATGGAAAGATCCTTTTGGCTTCCAGCTCCATTATCTTTTCTGTAGTCTCTTGATCAGCTTTCCTACACATAGCTGCGGATTCCATGGTGACCTGTAAATTGCTTTTTTGGCTGCCAAATTGCTGTAACCCTTCTATTTTTATGTTTTTAAGAGAGCTTAAAACTGTCCATCCTCTTTAGACATTTATTTCTTTAAAATTACCAGTGCTTGGGAGGATTTCAACTATATCCAAAAGGCTTAGAAGAAGATGTTGCTTCTAGTTTTCATTAAAGTCAACAAACATGAAAAGCCCAGAAGGGGATAAAAGCAACTTAGTGACTTTTACCTAATACATATAAATCTACCTAAGAGCTGTATGCAATAGAAGTACTCAGAGTACTACATTTATTTCTATCTAAGATGCAGAAATAGGCTTGGTGTCACATGATCCTTTACAATGCCAAGTTTAATAAGGCTCAAAAGACTGTGAGATGAGTAAAATAAGGTCAGTCTGGGTTGGGCCAGTTTGGCTTAATGTGAAAATAATTGTGATGTTTTTCTATCATGGTGACAGTTTGCTTTGGTGCAGGGCACTTGGAATACCATACTAGAAAATGTTTTAGTAGAGCATTTGCCAGATGCTCTGTTTACCCTTTCTTAAAAATGAATGCTGAAAACTCCCCAATGTTACACACATGATTTGTGACAAAGACCACTAGTTCAAGTGGAAGGGGAGGAGAAAGATAATAAAATACAAACTGTATTTTAATATACGGGGTGATGTGAAAGTAAATATTCAAATTAAAGTCTAATAATAAGTTCAACCCATTTAAGTCCATGGCCTTAAATCACATTTAATTGTGAATGTGATTCTGATACTCAGTTTAGCAGTTCTTCTTGAAGCAAATTGGGACATCATATGTTAAAAGTGCACAATACAGTTGCATGCTCGCAGTTATACCATATAAGGACTGTGCTTGGTATCTTGTTGATAAAAGTCCTCCTTTCCCCCTTGAAGGGCCTATCTAGGAAAGTCAGGTATGGTAGCAACAAGAGACACTGTTCAAGACAGATGTTATGTGATCCTGAGATGATATTTCTTGCCTTTTTGACATTGCACCTTTGATGCATTCCTGTTTTGAATCTCTTGAAAAGTGCTGCTATCTTTCACTTCCAAACTAAAGAGAGACTCGTTTTTTAAAATTATATAAGGACGTACTCTAACACCAGCAATTTAATACTATGCAGGTAAACAGGTTTGTTCAACCTTCTGTGAATCAAAGGCAGGCTGATTAGAATGTTTTCACATTTATTACTTTTACAGTACACCCTTTCTGACACACCTTTAATATTATGTGCATGCTGGCATTGCTTCCTGGCTCATCAGTTTTAAGAAAAAAAGAGATAACTGGCAGTTCAGGGCAAGGGGAATGGAAACAAACAATGCATTATTCATGTTATAAGTACCAAAGTTGTTGTTCTATTAATATAGCACAGAAAATGATGCCTAAATACTTTTACATGTTCAAAAAACATGTAGAACCTTGCTCTTACAAGTAGAACACATCCATATGACTATAACTAATGGAAGGTTTGTAACTGTATACTTAAAACTTACAATGAATGGTCCAAAATGGCACTAATGATGCTGAAGGAAATGTGTTTGGCAAAGGAAATATAAACATAGTAGAGATTTGATAGGCTTGAAAAATGGAATGAAGTACAACACTAAAAATGGAATCTATCCAGTTTTTGCAGCAGTAAAGCAAATTATAATTGCCTATTTGTAAAATGTGATATTGTAATGTCAGCAAAGATAATGTATAAGTTTTGGTATTCTTATGTCTAGGAAGGCAAAACCAAAGTCCAACTGGAAACTGATACAGGGAGACTGGATATTAAAATTCCTATTTCAAATCACAAGAAAAGAGTGAAAAATGAATTGGTTATCTGTAGTTGTGTAAATGCTAACGGTATTCGCAATAATGCTAATGATGGAAAAATACAACTGTAAGAGTTGTAACTACAGAGATGATAAATTATTTACAAAGTTTTTAGCTTTTTTATTTTTTTAAGGAAACTTACTGAATAAAGTGTAGAAAGGCTTCTTTTAGCTCTTCAGCATACTTTGTGCCCAGTGGCATAGCGGGGAGGGAGGGCTGTCACCCCAGGCAGTTTTTTGGGTGGAGCATCAAGGCACAATGAGCTGTTGTGTCCTTGATGCAGCAGGTGTGTGCCCTGGCCCCTGTGAGCCTAGCACTGCTTTTGTGAGCTGCGCTGCTTGCAGGGAGGACGCCCTGTGATCCTGGGAGCCGCGCCATAGCTCCCTGGGCTCTCAGGGGCCAGGGCACAAGCCTGTTGCCTCCTTCTCAGCCACCCTCCAACTGGAGGGTGCCATGAGAAGGACGCAACAGCTCAAGGCTGCGAGCCAAGCACCACTCACAAAGGCAGCGCTGGGCTCGCACTCCAGATGGGTGGCTGAGAAGGATGCAACGGCTCCCAAAGCTGTGATTGTCCACAGCTCTGGGCACCCCTCCCCTACACTATGATCGGCTGCAGCTTGCTCCAGGGGCAGAAATGCGAGTGATCACAGCATCACAGAGGGGCACTGCCGCCTCTCCGAAGCTTCTGCCCCGAGGGGGCGTTGACACTGCCTCTCCAACACTTCCACTCTGGAGCCAGCCGCAGTATTTATCCCCACTTTACAGTGGTACCTCAGGTTACATACGCTTCAGGTTACAGACTCCGCTAACCCAGAAATAGTGCTTCAGGTTAAGAACTTTACCTCAGGATGAGAACAGAAATCGTGCTCCGGCGGCGCGGCGGCAGCGGGAGGCCCCGTTAGCTAAAGTGGTGCTTCAGGTTAAGAACAGTTTCAGGTTAAGTACGGTCCTCCGGAATGAATTAAGTACTTAACCTGAGGTACCACTGTATAGTATCAATAGAATATAATTCAAATGTTGGCTTTTCTGACTATATTTTTTGCAGTATATTTTCTCATCAAAATCCTCTGTAGGACAAGAAATGAAGATGTATTAATGTAGTCTTGTCAACCTAGCAAGAGGTAAGAACTTGGCAATGTGCAAGTTGCTCCATAAGAAATTGCACATTATGTTCAGTTGCAATGTTTTATAACAGTGAGGAGAAAGTTTATCAGGTTTCTGGCCTCTAGCAGAAGTCAATTATTTCTGTGCCAATCTGAAGTTATTACAGGGAGTTCTTTTTCATCTCACATTAGAGTTGGTGAGGTTCATGTGACTTCTAAGGTTCCAAACAATTACTAGTAAGGGATGAAGACTTGCTTTTGTATTTGGGAGCTCAAGAGGAGGGAAAAATACAGGACTAGTGGATCTGCCTTATTTTAGGTTGGCAGCATTCACTTGGATTTTAGTGGCATGAAGAAGCTGTTAGTGAGGGTTGGAAGCTCTCTTTATGTTCTTCAGCTCAGCAAGAAGTAATCTCAGCCTTTGGGAGGGGAAAGCACTTTATGAAGCTTCAATGATTGCAAAGAAGTTTAGCTGAGAGGATCAACAATCTGTGATGACCCTTCTTAGTTGATCCATTTCAGAATTCAAAACAGCAAGGCAAGAAGTAAAACTAAAGTTGAAAAACCAAAATAATTTTTAGCATTCCAGTGCTCAACTTACTATGGGGAACAATATACTTTGCAAGAAGAGGAAGTAAATATTCTAAAATAAGTCTGCTGGAGTTTGGATTATTGTGTAAATTCTTTGCATGGAATATTATTAAATTCTTCCCAAAGCTCATGGGAACTGGAACCTATGTCCTTGGAATTAATTCCCACTACATTCAAAGGAACTTGCTTCCTAAGATGGACATTGAGGCAGCAGGCTTAAGCTGATGTTTCAACCTATGTAGGGTTTGTTAAAAAAAAGTTTAGGTAGCAGTTCAGCTAACACATTCCTGGAAGTATAAGCACATTTACCTGGAAATACCTTTGACCGAAACTAACAAGGTTTGATATAACTATTATGGTCCAATAAGCTGTGGTTTTGTGGCCTGGGAATGAGCCATGTGGTGTGTGTTTTGCACGTTCAGCTTACTTTCTTAAACCAAAAGTCTTATATCATCTAAATCATATAACGGGGGTTTAAGGGGTCCATCTAAACCAGGATATGAAACCAGAATTGTGGACCACTTGAAGATTGTTGAGTGCCTTGGTGGAGCACTTACTGAGCAATCCTATGCATATTTATTCAGAAGTTAATTCTACTGTGCTCTTGAACAACAAATCCCTAATTTCCTGACAGTTGGCCATGCTGGCTGGGCCTTATGGGAGTTTTAGACCAACAACATTTGGAGGGCAATGTCTTGGCAACCTGCCCTAGTGTGTTTAGGACAGCAGCCTTCATAAATTGTTTTTTTTCTACAAATCCAAGCACCTACATTTATTTTAATAGCATTTTCTTTCCACCTGCCACTTCAGCATCAGCACCAGCATCAAAATCAGTGCCATACAGTGGTACCTTGGGTTACATACTGTCAGAGCTGGCTCCAGGTCCCAGCTCACAGAGGACCAACGCTAGCCGGCAGTAATGTACAAAAGTCTTTATTGAAGTACAGTTTCCATTTCCAAACCGGAGCGCCCCAGCTCTACGTCTTAGAGCTAGACCGGCGAAGCTCCATCTGAGTCTCCGCCCCCTGTACACCAGTTTAAGACTCTAACCTTACTCCACCTCTTCCGTCTCTCCTTTCTCCTCTGGGTCCTTCTACCCCCCGGGGTCCCTTCAGTCCTGGACTCTGCTGACGCTGACCCCCCTGAGTCTCCTCCCTCCTTTCGGCGGGCTTTAGGACCTGGCTCCCTATCCGGGCTGCCCACTGCGCCGCCCTCTTGTACATTTGAACTTGGCGCGCGCGCCCAGTCTCCGACCTTCCTTTTGACCGTTTCCTCGCTCTCCGATGGAGGTGTGGCCAATCCTGACTCATGTCCTCCCGCTGGCGGTGCGCCGCCTGATCCCGATGCCTGGGACTCCTCCCCCCTACTGCGCTCTGGTGGAGAAGCTGGTCCTGATTTCCAACTGCTGCTCTCTGAGTCCCCTCTTGCCCCTTCTTCCTGGGGTGTCCCCCTAGGCACCCCCCCTTGCTCTGACCATGGGAGCCCCTTTCTGTGAATCCTCCGAGTCGCTGGAGAGACTCAGAGACCTCGGACGGCTGTCATCGCTAACATTTCCTTCAGATTCCTCCCCCTCGGTCTCTATTTCCTCCCTCTCCTGTGCCTCTGCTCCTGAGCCCCTGACACATAAGCTTCAGGTTACATACACTTCAGGTTACAGAGTCCTCTAACCCAGAAATAGTGCTTCAGGTTAAGAACTTTGTTTCAGGATAAGAACAGAAATTGGGCTCTGGCAGCACAGCGGCAGCAGGAGGCCCCATTAGCTAAAGTGGTGCTTCAGGTTAAGAACAGTTTCAGGTTAAGAAGGGACCTCCGGAATGAATTAAGTACGCAACCCGAGGTACCACTGTATTATGAAAAGCACAGGCCCCTGACAAGGCTGTTTAGAAGACCACCATTAACTGCTAAATGTTTAAGGAGATATGAGAAGACTGCACCACTATTAAGAAAATCACAGGACCTAAGATAGAGCTTTGTTATTCCAGCCCTGGTCCAAACAGCCTCGATCTCTATTTTCAGGGGGAAAACAAGTAAGTTGCAGGGCCATGGACAAATCTTTTTCAATTGTTTTGCAACCTTTTCCCAGGCCACCTGATTGCACCTCATGCTAGGGTTGCCATGTATCTGGGAATTCCCAGACATGTCTTCTTTTGGGGATCCTACATGCCCATCCAGGGGGAATCAATTTTTAAAAAATGGTGCACAGGCAGCTCTGGTTCAGGTTCTGGCTTACTGGTGGCCTAAAAAAGCTCAACAACTTTTTGTGTCCGGATTTTCACCTCTTGAAATATGGCAACCCTACCTCATGCACCAGAGTTTGAGACCCTGAAGGAATGAATGAATGAACATAAGAAAAACATATGAATAAAAGAGCAATTAGAATTTAAAACAGGTAATTATTAAAGCAAATAGGAACAAAAAAAACAAGCGTAGGATAAAACATGTGAATAGAATACGAGATTAAACACAGATAATGGATGGATAAGAACTGATAATAAAAAGCAGATTTGAACTAAGAGACATGCAGTTAAAACAACTGTAAGAGACCCTCTGACCTACAAAATTGAAGGAGGTTGTCTTCAAGGAACTACATATGTGTTACAGTATACATTTTGAAGCCAATGTATGCTTAATTGCCAAGTTAAAATATCTGCTTTAGAGTAAATTATGCTAGATGACAGTAACTAATAAAATGTGACATTCTTCTCCAAATGCAACACTCCTGCATGCACTGAGTATCTTTACCTTGTAGAGCTGTTGTATGTCGCATGTGTGAAACATCGAGCGCTGGCACTGGAGGTTGGGAGACTGTCCTGAACTTTCTGGTCCTCCTGTGGCTGTATAGTCAGGTTTACAAAAGTGTCACTCAAAGCATCGTCTCTGTCCATATGGCCTGGAATCTCTAGGTGTTTTTAAAATTAAAAACAGAAATTAAGAATAAAGTTTACTATTGCTACATGTTTTACTGGATACAGTGGTACCTCGGGTTAAGAACTTAATTCGTTCTGGAGGTTCATTCTTAACCTGAAACTGTTCTTAACCTGAAGCACCACTTTAGCTAATGGGGCCTCCCACTGCCGCTGCGCCTCCGCCACACAATTTCTGTTCTTATCCTGAAGCAAAGTTCTTGACCTGAGGTAATATTTCTGGGTTAGCGGAGTATGTAACCTGAAGCGTCTGTAACCCGAGGTACCACTGTATAGGAATTGGCTTTTCAAAGCAATTACTACAGAAGACTAGGTATGAAGTATTTATACAATCTCAATGGAGATAGTAACTGACTTTCACAGTAATTATTACTAGCTGGGACTAGAACCTGTCAAAGTGGTTTTCTATTAAAACAAGTCTCCTATTATATGTTTATTCATACCCTGCCTTTGCCCCTGACGGAACCAAAGGCAACTTCTTATTCATATATTGGTGACCTGAGCTACCTGCATGTTGATCAAAACAGGAACATATTTATTAAGGTATTTGTATCTCACATTTGTAGGCAATTGGCCTTTGCATAGTGGCTTACAATGCAATAATGAAAACATTATTCTAATTCCAATGACACTGCAAGCAATAGCCTCCAGAAGATCAAAAGAGATTACGAGGCTCTGGGCAGGAAATTGAAGCAATTAAATGCACAAATTGTCATCTCATCTGTCCTCCCAGTTGAACGACGTGGCCCAGGGAGAGAGGGAAAAATAGTGGAAGTGAACAACTGGCTTCGCAAATGGTGCAAACAGGAACGGTTTGGATTCTTAGATCACGGAATGCAGTTTCTTGAAGATGGACTTCTGGCAAGCGATGGGCTGCACCTCACAACGGTTGGGAGGAATGTTTTTGCAAAAAATCTCAGAAACCTCATCAGGAGGGCTTTAAACTGACTAATGTGGGGGAGGGAGACAGTGCTCCTGAAGGTAGGAGTCTATCAATTGATGAAGATGATCATCCAAATATCATAGACCGAATGGAGCAAAGAGCATGCAGACCTAGTGGTGGGAGGAGAAAATCCTTAAATAAGAGACACGGGGGAATGATTAATGGACTTCAATGTCTGTACACTAATGCACAAAGCATGGGAAATAAACAAGATGAGCTTGAGCTCCTGGTACAGCAAACTAAATATGACATAATAGGAATCACTGAAACCTGGTGGGATAAATCCCACGATTGGAATGTAATAATGGAGGGATACAATCTATTTCAAAGAAACAGACCAGACAAGAAAGGAGGAGGAGTGGCGTTATATGTCAGGGATGTGTATACCTGTGAAGAGATCCAAGATTTAGAACCTCAAAGCCAAAGTGAGAGCATTTGGGTCAAAATTAAGGGAGAGAAGAATAACAGTGACCTCATTGTGGGAGTTTACTATAGATCCCCAAGCCAAACGGAGGACATAGATGATGCCTTCCTGGAACAGATGGCCAAGCATGCAAAAGGAAGGGAGATAGTAGTAATGGGGGACTTCAATTACCCGGATATTTGTTGGATGTCAAACTCAGCCAAGAGCATAAGGTCAAACAGATTCCTCACTGCCCTTGCAGACAACTTCATTGTCCAGAAAGTGGGAGAAGCAACAAGAGGAACAGCCATTTTAGATCTGGTCCTAACCAATGTTGATGACCTGGTTAGTGGGGTAGAAGTGGAAGGATCATTAGGCGCGAGTGATCATGCTCTTCTGAAGTTTACTATACAGCGGAAAGGAGCAGCCAAGCATACTAGGACTCAATTTCTCGACTTTAAGAAAGCCGACTTCATAAAGCTTAGGGAAGTGCTGGGTGAGATCCCATGGACAGTAATACTAAAAGGAAAGGGAGTTCAAGATGGCTGGGAGTTTGTTAAGAGGGAGATAGTAAAAGCACAACTTCAGGCAATACCAATGAGACGGAAACATGGAAGGTGCCTAAAGAAGCCAGGGTGGCTATCTAAAGAACTTTTAACTGAGTTAAGATTAAAAAAGGATGTGTACAAAAAATGGAAAAGGGGGGAAACCACCAAAGAGGAATTCAAACAAATAGCCAGCACGTGTAGACACAAAGTCAGAAAAGCTAAAGCACAAAATGAACTCAGGCTTGCTAGAGAGGTTAAAAGCAACAAAAAAGGCTTTTATGGGTATGTTCGTAGCAAAAGGAAGAACAAAGAAACCGTGGGGTCACTCAGAGGAGAAGATGGTGAAATGCAAACAGGGGACACAGAAAGGGCTGAACTCCTCAATGCCTTCTTTGCCTCAGTCTTCTCCGATAAAGAAAACAATGCCCGACCTGAAGAATTTGGAGCAAATGATTCAGCAGAGGAAACACAGCCCAGAATAACTAAGGAGATAGTACAAGAATACTTGGCTAGTCTAGATGTATTCAAGTCTCCAGGGCCAGATGAACTGCATCCAAGAGTATTAAAAGAACTGGCAGATGTGATTTCAGAACCACTGGCAGTCATCTTTGAGAATTCCTGGAGAACAGGCGAAGTCCCGGCAGACTGGAGGAGGGCAAATGTTGTCCCTATTTTCAAAAAGGGGAAAAGAGAGGACCCAAATAATTACCGCCCAGTCAGTCTGACATCAATACCAGGGAAGATTCTGGAGCAGATCATTAAGCAAACAGTCTGTGAGCACCTAGAAAGGAATGCTGTGATCACCAATAGTCAGCATGGATTTCTGAAAAATAAGTCATGTCAGACTAACCTGATCTCGTTTTTTGACAGAATTACAAGCCTGGTAGATGAAGGGAACGCAGTGGATGTAGTCTACCTTGATTTCAGCAAGGCATTTGACAAGGTGCCCCATGATATTCTTGTAAAGAAGCTGGTAAAATGCGGTCTTGACTATGCTACCACTCAGTGGATTTGTAACTGGCTGACTGACCGAACCCAAAGGGTGCTCATCAATGGTTCCTCTTCATCCTGGAGAAGAGTGACTAGTGGGGTGCCACAGGGTTCTGTCCTGGGCCCGGTCTTATTCAACATCTTTATCAACGACTTGGATGATGGACTCAAGGGCATCCTGATCAAATTTGCAGATGACACCAAACTGGGAGGGGTGGCTAACACCCCAGAGGACAGGATCACACTTCAAAACGACCTTGACAGATTAGAGAACTGGGCCAAAACAAACAAGATGAATTTTAACAGGGAGAAATGTAAAGTATTGCACTTGGGCAAAAAAAATGAGAGGCACAAATACAAGATGGGTGACACCTGGCTTGAGAGCAGTACATGTGAAAAGGATCTAGGAGTCTTGGTTGACCACAAACTTGACATGAGCCAACAGTGTGACGCGGCAGCTAAAAAAGCCAATGCAATTCTGGGCCTCATCAATAGGAGTATAGCATCTAGATCAAGGGAAGTAATAGTGCCACTGTATTCTGCTCTGGTCAGACCTCACCTGGAGTACTGTGTCCAGTTCTGGGCACCACAGTTCAAGAAGGACACTGACAAACTGGAACGTGTCCAGAGGAGGGCAACCAAAATGGTCAAAGGCCTGGAAATGATGCCTTATGAGGAACGGCTAAGGGAGCTGGGCATGTTTAGCCTGGAGAAGAGGAGGTTAAGGGGTGATATGATAGCCATGTTCAAATATATAAAAGGATGTCACATAGAGGAGGGAGAAAGGCTGTTTTCTGCTGCTCCAGAGAAGCGGACACGGAGCAATGGATCCAAACTACAAGAAAGAAGATTCCACCTAAACATTAGGAAGAACTTCCTGACAGTAAGAGCTGTTCGACAGTGGAATTTGCTGCCAAGGAGTGTGGTGGAGTCTCCTTCTTTGGAGGTCTTTAAGCAGAGGCTTGACAACCATATGTCAGGAGTGCTCTGATGGTGTTTCCTGCTTGGCAGGGGGTTGGACTCGATGGCCCTTGTGGTCTCTTCCAACTCTATGATTCTATGATTCTATGATTCTATGATTCTATTTAATTTAAATAGAATTTCATAAACAGTGAAAATAGAGCAATAAGTTTAAAACTTTAGAAGAACATCAGCAATGAAAAACAGATTGGGATAAAGACTTCCTTAAAGCCTATTTAAAAGCAGCTAAAAGAAGGTCCTAAATGTACATTGATTGGGTTCAAACCCAACATAGCAGGCTCTGGAGGAAGACCAGGAAGAATAGGAGGGCCACGCTGGAACAGAGAGACCCTTCTCTCCCTCCAAATATACCTGCTGGCTCCAGTGCTGAGACAGGAGTCCCAGCTCCCTCCCTTCTGGTGGGGGACAGAGTGCTGCTGGACCTCTGGAGGGATCCACGCCACTTCCTGGGGTGGCAGAGCAGGCTTCAGAGGGGCAAATGCACCTGGTGCTCTCATTTTTTATAGATTTTGACACAAATATGACAATGAAAATTCAAAACTGGTTACTGTTGTTTGTTTTTTTTTTGAGATCCACAATAGTTTATTATATAATCGGGGAATATGCACATATGACATGAACTGGCAAAAGCCAGCTGCCACCACTTTGCCTGTTGCTCAGGATCATCTCTGGTGAGCATCCAGCATCCAACAGTAATCCGCCAACAGGGAAGTGGACCACTTTTCACTTTTCATTATTGTAATTTCCTGATAATCGTTGGGTCTCTGGACCGTAATAAAGATTGTTGTTGTTGTTGTTGTAATTTCCTGATAAAACATTCACTGTGCTCATCACTAACGATACGGCAGTTGTCAGGGAAGAAATCCAAGTGGGAATGGAGAAAATGGATCTTTAAGGACATATTGCAGCCAAGTTTGTGATACAGAGACATCTTCTCAACCAGTTCCTTGTAGTTTTCTACCCTGACATTTCCGAGAAAGTTAGTTGACACCATATGAAATGCACCCCAAGCTTTTTTCTCATCACCCTGAAGCAGGTTGTCTAACATTTTGTCTTTGATGAGCTTGCAGATCTGAAGACCCACAAAAATTCCCTCTTTAATTCTTACTT